TGAACATTCTAGAAAATTCCAGTAAATCCCAGAAAATTCCAGAAAATTCCAGAAAATTCTAGAAAGTTCCAGAAAGTTCCAGAACATTCTAGAAAATTCCAGAAAATTCCAGAAAGTTCCAGAACATTCTAGAAAATTCCATAAAATCCTAGGAAGTTCCTGAACATTCTAGAAAATTCCAGTAAATCTCAGAACATTCTAGAAAATTCCAGTAAATCTCAGAAAATTCCAGTAAATTCCAGAAAGATCCAGAACATTCTAGAAAATTCCAGAAAATTCCAGAACATTCCAGAAAATTCCAGAAAATTCCAGAAAATTCTAGAAAGTTCCAGAAAGTTCCAGAACATTCTAGAAAATTCCAGAAAATCCTAGGAAGTTCCAGAACATTCTAGAAAATTCCAGAAAATCCCAGAAAATTCCAGAACATTCCAGAAAATTCCAGAAAATTCTAGAAAGTTCCAGAACATTCTAGAAAATTCCAGAAAATTCCAGAAACTTCCAGAAAGTTCCAGTACATTCTAGAAAATTCCAGAAAATCCTAGGAAGTTCCTGAACATTCTAGAAAATTCCAGTAAATCTCAGAAAATTCCAGAACATTCCAGAAAATTCCAGAAAATTCCAGAAAATTCTAGAAAGTTCCAGAAAGTTCCAGAACATTCTAGAAAATTCCAGAAACTTCCAGAAAGTTCCAGTACATTCTAGAAAATTCCAGAAAATCCTAGGAAGTTCCTGAACATTCTAGAAAATTCCAGTAAATCTCAGAACATTCTAGAAAATTCCAGAAAATTCTAGAAAATTCCAGAAAATTCCAGAAAGTTCCAGAACATTCTAGAAAATTCCAGTAAATCTCAGAAAATTCCAGTAAATTCCAGAAAGATTCAGAACATTCTAGAAAATTCCAGTAAATCTCAGAAAATTCCAGTAAATTCCAGAAAGATTCAGAACATTCTAGAAAATTCCAGAAAATTCTAGAAAATTCCAGAAACTTCCAGAAAGTTCCAGTAAATTGCAGAAAGATCCAGAACATTCTAGAAAATTCTAGAAAATTCCAGAAAATTCCAGAAAATTCCAGAAAATTCCAGAAAGTCCCAGACAGTTCCAGAAAATTCCAGAACATTCTAGAAAATTCCAGTAAATCCCAGAAAATTCCAGAACATTCTAGCATTTTAAGGGGTAAAAAATCCGCAATTCGGGGGTACAAAATACTGAAAAAGGCTCAGTTTTGTACCCCCAAACTGTGAGTTTTGTACCCCTAAATCATTTTGTACCCCTTTGTACCCCCGAATTGTTGTACCATCCAAACGTTTTGCCTGAAAAAAGGTGTTCTCTATAAGTATACAGGTATTGAAAATCCTAGGAAGTTCCTGAACATTCTAGAAAATTCCAGTAAATCTCAGAAAATTCCAGAACATTCCAGAACATTCCAGAAAATTCCAGAAAATTCCAGAAAATTCTAGAAAGTTCCAGAAAGTTCCAGAACATTCTAGAAAATTCCAGAAAATCCTAGGAAGTTCCAGAACATTCTAGAAAATTCCAGTAAATCCCAGAAAATTCCAGAACATTCCAGAAAATTCCAGAAAATTCCAGAAAATTCTAGAAAGTTCCAGAAAGTTCCAGAACATTCTAGAAAATTCCAGAAACTTCCAGAAAGTTCCAGTACATTCTAGAAAATTCCAGAAAATCCTAGGAAGTTCCTGAACATTCTAGAAAATTCCAGTAAATCTCAGAACATTCTAGAAAATTCCAGAAAATTCTAGAAAATTCCAGAAAATTCCAGAAAGTTCCAGAACATTCTAGAAAATTCCAGTAAATCTCAGAAAATTCCAGTAAATTCCAGAAAGATTCAGAACATTCTAGAAAATTCCAGTAAATCTCAGAAAATTCCAGTAAATTCCAGAAAGATTCAGAACATTCTAGAAAATTCCAGAAAATTCTAGAAAATTCCAGAAACTTCCAGAAAGTTCCAGTAAATTGCAGAAAGATCCAGAACATTCTAGAAAATTCTAGAAAATTCCAGAAAATTCCAGAAAATTCCAGAAAATTCCAGAAAGTCCCAGACAGTTCCAGAAAATTCCAGAACATTCTAGAAAATTCCAGTAAATCCCAGAAAATTCCAGAACATTCTAGCAATTTAAGGGGTAAAAAATCTGCAATTCGGGGGTACAAAATACTGAAAAAGGCTCAGTTTTGTACCCCCAAACTGTGAGTTTTGTACCCCTAAATCATTTTGTACCCCTTTGTACCCCCGAATTGTTGTACCATCCAAACGTTTTGCCTGAAAAAAGGTGTTCTCTATAAGTATACAGGTATTGTAATCACTTCCCTATTTTTTCAAGGTGATCTGAAACCAAAGGCTGAGAATTAAGGCTGTGTGTGGTTTTTTTTTGATATCTGAATTTCAAAAAACCTAATAATCTGTAATCAGAAAATCCAGGAACATTCTAGAAAAAACAAGTGGGCATCTATTCGAGAAAGTACGGTATTCAAAAATTCCGATATCGGGAAAATATAACTTTTGAAAATGATGAATCTCGGAAATTTCGGACACACGGAAAGTGGGAATTTCTGAAATTAGGAATTCAAATGTAAGATAAAGTAAACAAAACCCAGGAGGTCAAAACCCAGGAGGTTGAGGGCTCAAACCGACTGGTAAAATGTAATAAAAAGTAGTTTTTTCCATTCTTTTGCTAATTTCAAATTCATTCGAAACACCGTTTGCCGGCTGCAGCCAAAAACGTGGCACCCATTTTTAGCCGCCGTGCCACCGGCGCTTATTTTTCGTTGCCCACAAATCGCGGAGTGTACGGTTTGATGCAAAGGTGCTCTACAATAAAACTTATTAAACGGCGCGAAGCTTTTTGTTCGATTTGAGTCGAGTTTACTGTGAAACTGTCATTTTTCATAAGTGCTTCGACTAAAAAAAACCGTGAATTTCTGAATTTCAGAATTCCTAGAATTTTCGAATTTCTGAATTTCAGAGTTTCTCATATTTCTAAATTTTCCGGAATTTCTAAATTTTACAATTTCTAAATTTCGGGAAAGGAAGAAAGAGGAGAAATCAACGACATGATGTGGAAGAGCGGTAAAAAGGTAAAAAAAATCTAGCGTTCATTTTCTGTCGAGAAAAGAGAGTAATCGAAAAAGAGGGAAAGGAGAAAACAAGAACAGCATCGGAAAGACAAGGAGAACCAAAAAAACAGGCGAAGGCAGTGTTGACTCCTAATGTGCGCTAGAGCACGCTTGCTGGTTTTTCTGCTTTTTGAGGGTTTTCTTTCAATTTGAAGAAGTGAAGAGGTAACAAGATAAAAAAGAATAGGAAAAATTGGAGATGGTTTGGAAATCTGAAAAAAAATCCAAACCTATTGGCGTTGCTCGGGAGTAGGTAGGAAATAAAAAAGCATTTACGAAAATCAAAATCCTTGTAAATTTTTTGTTTTATTTCGAAAATTTGCCAAAAATCCTCCGAGTTTTTATTTTCAGTTTCGGAGCGTTTTCTGTTTATTGATATTTTCTTTGTAAATTAAAATCCTCGCCTGTTGTTCACTGGATCAGGAATTTTTTCCAGTCTCAACGCTGTGAATGCATTCTCGACTTCGTGCCATGTGATCGTGGGATACACTTTTTGCAACTCATCAAAAGCAGTCCAGACGCTATGATTCGTTTGGAATAAAAATGAAGTAATTATCCATTTACTCTCGTCTTGTCTTAGATCCACGCCAAGGACGTTCATGATGCAAAACTACCTGAACTTTCGATGTAAATTATAGAGCCTTGTAGTATTCAAATTTTAAAAAAAAACATGAGAAAGTGTCCGAGGACCAGATAATCGAAATTGAGAACAGAAATGGAGATGTTGGAATTATAAGGAGATGCAGACGAATCTTAAACGTGGCATAAAATTGATGCGCAAGTGCGAGAAAGCAGAGAAACCATGGAAGGGACAGAAGAAAGCAACGACAGAGTGTGGAAGAGGGGTGAAAGGGTGAAAACCCAGCGGCGCGCATTATAAAATATAAAGCGAAACAATTTTTTTGAAAAGGTAGATATGGATGAATGATAAAGAGACACAGACGATCTCTGCTTATATGCAAGGAATAGAAAACCAAAGGAAGAGGAGAAAAAAGAGCAACGACAACGTCGATAAGACAGGGAGAACAGAAAAAAAAATGATGACAGTGTTGAGAACCAACTGCGTTACAGCGCGCTTGCTGGTCTTTGCATGTCTGTTTATATTTTAGACGATGGAATAAAAAGGAGACACGAGAATGAACGAATATGAGGAAGAAGATAAAGAAGAAGGATTGAGCCTAGATAAATCATCGAATATCGGCGTTTTCGAGCTGGGCAGTAACTGAGGCAAGATCTTAAACGCTGGAAGCCTCTACATACAGAAAATCAATTTTTCTTGGAACTAATTTCATCGCGGCATCACTATCCCAAAAGTCAAAGTTCTGAAAATAACATACCTGATTAAACGAGTTCAGAATGCCCTGTAAAATTTGTGAACACATGTAAACAGCTGAAGCTTTATTACGTTTACCAACACAAAAGAAAAATATTTCAAACAAAACAAAAGACGAACGTGCTCAAAAAATCATCAATTGATAGGTTCTCAATTTTCCGGAAAGAATTTATTATGCAAATGCCAATATCCGTCTTTCAAATCATACTCTAAGTGTTCATCGGCTATCGATGGGATCCTTCCTTGGATCCTTTCATCAACCCAAGTTTGTCTTCCTAGTCCCCTCAGTCGCCGCGCCACAGCAGTATTGTCGATCGCTGCAAAGATACAATAAAACAGTTTTATTGGAGAATCAAGGGATTTCTGCAAAATTGCACAAAAACTGCAGTATTTATACGTGTTATTTTACCTCAATAAAAGCGATAACGCTTTCAACGTTTTTTCGATAGCTAGTCGAGATAACTGCCCACGGAATGTGTGTTATATTCGCTAGTGATAGAGAGGAGCGATGGGTGAAATGCAAATATTTCAGTTCTCTTCATTGTGGTAGGTCCACTACATCTTCCATTTCGAAAACTCCATATCCTTCCGATGTGATTGTAAGTCTTTCGAAATTTTCCGAAGAAAGGTTTCCGATGATTGGCAACAAATCGAGGGGACTGCGAACTCCAATTTTCAGCTCATTGCACGTAAGACTTGATGGTAGAGAAGTCTGTGATGGTAGAGAAGTCCCGCTTCAAAATTTTAAAAGAATCTTGAACGTTGTGTCTTGCTCGAAAAAAGAACCCGACGATATTCCTCTTGTAGGCATCACTCGAAGGATCAAAAGAAGTGAAGTCCATAGTTGAGAGATCTCTTTAAAAATTGAAATTTTCAGGAAATTATTAAATTGTTTGAAAGTTAGTTATGAAAGTACGTTTTTAAAAAATTAACTGCAAGGGTTCGTTCAGTGGAGCGCGGTTGCAATTAATGTTTTCAAGAGAAAAAAAAGTGAATCAATTTCTGATATTTTCACATTCTGAACACAGAAACAACCGTATCGGATGAAAGTGACAGACAAAGATCAAATTTTGATCATTTCTCAGAATATTGTAATTTTTTCAAACAGATACTACAGTGCTCCACAAAATATGTTCACCCTTAGAAATTTTCAAAAAACACAAATTTTGAAAAAAAATAGACCGCATGTGATTTAGAAAACTAGAAGATTAGTGAGACCTGTTTCAACCTAGCGGATTTAACATTTTTTTTGTCACTGGACCCAAATTACAGGTCGTCGTTCTGACATTTTTGAGAATCACAGTAGTTGAACCTATCATTTCGTGGAATTGTTTTTCGTCGAAATTCGATATTTTCAAATTTTCTCAAAAACTGAAAACGGTTCGAACTCAATATTTTTAAACAAATATGAGTTTCATTTTTGCATACTTTCAGTAATGACACCGTTTTCAAATTTTTCAAAACTTGTGTTTTTTGATAATTTCTGAGTGTGAACCTATCATTTTGTAGAGCACTGGACTCCGGCCAAAAAAATCTTATTTTCTGATATTATTGCAAAAAAAATTCAAAAAAGGAATCCGAAATCTCCGAAAAACACCGTTGAAAATGAAAAAATTCGAAAAAAAGTGCCGCGGAGGGACGAGGATTTGCATGGAGAAACTTAGGCCACGGTGCCTGACAGCCGTTTTTTCAACTGGCCCGACAGTGGCGTTTTACGTTATCTGTGGGAGACAAACGCGAAAAAAAACCCGGAAATATTGTCTGGTAAAGAAGGCGTGGCCTAGGTTTTTCACTACAAATTCTCCTCCCTCCTGGGCACGTTTTTAATTTTTCAATTTTTCAACGACGTTTTTCGGGAGTTTTTGTTTTTTTTTATTTTCTCGCAATACCATCCAAGAAAATTTTGGAAAGTAACTTTTAACACATTTTAATGCAGCACAAAATTCTGGTCGGACTCTTGTTTAGTTTATGCAACCGCGCTCCGCTAAACCAACTTTTTTGAATTTAAATTTGTAGCTGGGGAATGCGTGAAAAATAATAAAAAAAAACAAGGAAAAACTCACGATGTTCCGAGAACAAAGAATCCAAATTTAACCAACTCAAACGTTTGCACAAATCAATAAGAATAGACGGATATCGATTTTCCGTGCCGGCAATGACGCAAAATCAAACGTCTGTTCGAATATGAGTGTCCCAGCTAAAATGGAGTTTTCTGTGCTTCGCAATGTGCGCACTGCGTTGTGTGCGTCGCGTCGAATGCGTCGCGGTGTCGCGTATATGAAACAATACATGACTAATATATACTTGAAAAACGGAAAGGTTATGATAAGTTTTGAATTAAGTGAAATGTAAGTGGGTTTAACCCTATATTCGAAAACTCCAAATTTTCTACAATTGAAGTCTAGAAATTCTAAAATGATGGTCATCAGGTTTAGCCAGATTGTTTTGAAAACTTACATATAAGCATGTTTTGTGAGGACCATCTCCAAAAAAATCTGATAATTCAAAATTTTCCATACGTCTTACAGAAACCGCAATTTTTAAAACCAAAGTTCATAATAGCTGACATTACAGTATTTCAGTTTTTCAGTGGAAATAAAACTGTTGAAAAGAACAACATCCGGAAGAAGAGAGCGAATCGAAAACAAATGATTGCATTGTTGAGAGCCACGTGCACGAAAGCACGGTTGCTGGTCTTTGCGTACCTGTTCATTTTTGTGATAAAAAAATGAAAAACAAGAACAAAATGTATTGCGATTTGTAGAGGTATAGAGAAGGACTTTTAAGGAATAGAAGAAACTTTAGAAAATAATTTCGTCAATGCATCACTAGTTTCCGCTGGCCCTCTTCTTTGTCGCTACCTGACATCACACACATCCCAGATGCGGACGTTTGCATTCGCTCTGTAGATGTCGAAGACATCATGGCTTTTGTTGAGGTAACATAATACTTGTGATTACTGTAAACTTCGTGCAATTTTTATAGACATATCTTGATTCTTCAAACAAACTCTTTCACTGTATCAAGGCAACTATCAACACTGCTGCTGTCGCACAGTGATTACAGCCATTGGGGATACAACACACTATTGGTTCACTCATCAAAGGACGGATCCCACGACGATCAGGTGGATACATCAAGTACAGTTTTTCTGACGGATTGTGCATCTGGGATGCATTATCACTGTAATTCGTGAACATACGGCTTTAATAATTTATTAATTTCGTAAACACACGGTTATCTGGATTTTTTTGACAGATTTTTCTCCCGCATTACTAAACTTGATGAAACTCACTATCTGTTAGCAAGGTGCCCATTTTAATAGGCTATCGTAAATTGGTTATATCGAGTTTATAACTTTCCGGACATGTTTCTTCTTCGTTAGTGCAAATATATGAGTTGTTTCCAGTGTGGTAATTCCACTACATCTCTCATTTCGAAAAATGCACCTGTATTTGACGAGATCACAAGTTTTTTGAAATTTTCTGATGATAGGTTTTCAATTATTGGCAACAAATCAAATGGCGTGCGAATTTTAATGTCCAGGCGATTGCACATAAGACGGGGCTCCAGTCTTGCCAGAGTTTCTCCAAGCGTACGGAAAAAATTATTCCGATGAGCATCATGAACATTTTCTGCTTCCCTTATTTCACTTTCAAAATCGATGCATAGCTCCTCCACTTTTTTATTTCTTCCCTCGACGACCTTTTCAAATTCTACATATACATGACAGTTTTTGGATAATAGCCTCCTTTTAAGAATAACATACGAACGTTTGTGAAACGTGTGAACTCACAAGGAAACTATCTGGAGTCGTCTACGTGGTTACAATTCATGACCTACATCTAGAAAGCCCATAAAATTTTGATTCGGAATATGTATTCTATTTTTGCTAAAATTCCGTGAGCTTCAAGAAAATTAGATCAAAAGGTAACTTTCAGTTGATTTCAATCAGGTTTTAGTTTATTAAAGGGGCTCGCAGACCAAATCGGGCGGCCAAATTTTGTAAGAATGCTATTTTCATCATTTCGAAACGTTTGGAACATTTTGCAGCTCTTTTCAAAAATTTTTCAAAAATTTTTCAAAAAGTCACTTCTGATGTACCCCATGGTGATTTTTTCCAAAATGTTTTTTTTTGAAATTGTCCAAAACCTTTTTCAGAAGATGAGAAATGTTTTGAAATGGCTTCTGATTATGAAATAATCTTGGAAAATCATTTTTGAAGCTAAAAAATGCACTTTTCTGGTCAAAAATTAGTACTGAAAACAATTACATAGCCCATATTTTGGCTTATATTTAATATAGGTTTAAAATATTGCTGAAATTGCGTTCACAATGTGCAAAAGTATCTCTGTCCAACTTTTCAGATATTTCTGATTCATTTGAAAAACATTCCCTATTACGGCCCGATGCATCATGAAGCTAGAATTTCGCCAAAAAATTCTCCTCAAAACTTGAAAATATGCATGTTTCACACTATTTATGGCAAAAAAAATCAGTCAAATTGTAACACAAAAAATAAAAATTTAAGGTCTATGGAGGAATCGAACCAGAGACTTTCCGCTTACTAAATCAGTTTTTTACCACTGCAACATCGCTGTCGACACTAGTTCCTTTTTTGAAATAAATGTGTGTCGTGCGTCGCGTCGATTTATAATGAAAAATCTGTATTTTTAATGCAAAATCTATAGGTTTCAGTATTAAAACTTTCGACCTGATTTTCTCGAAGCTCACGGACTTTTAGCAAAAAAACAGAAAACATATTCCAAGTTAAAATTTTATAGGCTTACTAATGATATAGGCCATGAATCACAACTTGGAGACGACTCCAGATACTTCCCTAGTCAGCCAAAACGTTATCAAATTTATTGAGTGGGCGAAGGAAAATGATTGGCATAAAGAAAATGAGATAAATACGTGTTTTAGAAATGAAATGATCGCTGGAGTCACATGTTCCCGAATCAAAGTGATACTGTTTCCCAATTCCACAGGAAGTGACTAATTTCATACTTGATGTAACCACCGAACCGCCGCGGGATTCGCCCTATAATAGTGCCACCGATTGTGTATTGCGTTCCGAGTGGTTTTAATTGTTGCGCAACGGGCGCAATGTCAGTGTTTGCCATGATAGTATGAGACAGTTCGTTTGGAGATTCACGACAAGCCTGTAAAAAATGCACAGAGATTACAGTAAACATATGTGTTATCTTACCTCAACAAAAGACATAATATCTTCTACATTTGGAGAAGGAATAAGAAATGGTGCATTCGGAATGTGTGTGATGTCAGGTAGCGACAAAGAAGAGAGCCAGCGGAAACGCAAATATATGAGTTGTTTCCAGTGTGGTAATTCCACTACATCTCTCATTTCGAACAATTCGTCTGAATTCGATGAAATCACTAAGTCTGTGAAATTTTCCGACGAAATGTTTCCAATAATTGGCAACAAATCCAGTGGCGTGCGGATTTCAATATGCAGATCATTGCACATGAGACGGGGCTCCAGTCCTGCCAGGGTTTCTCCAAGCTTGCGGAAGAATTCATTCCGATGAACATCATGAGCATTTTCTGCTTCCCTTATTTCACTTTCAAATTCGATGCTTAGCTCCTCCACATTTTTATTTCTTCCCTCGACGACCTTTTCAAATTCTTTGACTCCTTGCTCGACAAATAGCACCTCAGATGGTGTGGTTTCTCCGTTTCTCTCCACAACAGATCAGTTTTCAGTTTGTGAAACTTTATAATATCTGTCTTCCCGATTTTTGAGACGATGAGCTGGACGGAAGACGGATTCAGGTGGATGAGAACTTTATTGACGACAAGATCCATTGCGTTTATGAAATCATTGAATCCTCGTGAGGCCAAGCGCATATTTTTTCTGTAAATAGAGAATAAAACACAAAAAAGTAGTGAATTCCATAGTTGGAAGGTATCTTTAAAAATGGCGGTATTTTTGCGGGAAATTAGGGAGTTTTTTGAAAATTAGTTATAAAAGTAAAATTCCAAAAGACAAACTGCAAGGTTCAGTGGAGTGCGGTTTCAAATCAACTTTTTAACGAAACGTATGAATCAATTCCTGATGTTTTTATAGGTTTTTAAACACAGAAACAACAGAATAAGATAATACAGAAAAAGGTAACATTTTGGCATTTCTCAAAAAAAGTGATTTTTTTGAACAATTATTCTAACATTAAAAAAGACATTAAAAATATATTGGAAAAACTATTGGAAAAAAAAATTTCTCATTTCAAAAATTTCTGGAATTGTTGTTTCTAAACAAAATGCTGAAGTGTGGATTACCCTTGTTGTTTTTCATCGAAAGTAAAACATTTTCTGAAGAGTGCAAGTTTTCAGGAAAAAAGTTTTCGTGCTACGCAATCGCGCTCCGCTGAACCAACTATTTTTGTTTGAATTTGTAACTGGGGAGTGTGTTAAAATGAAGAAAAATAGAAAGAAAAAACTCACGAAGTCTGAAGAATCACGAATTCAAATTGAACCAACTCAAAATATTGCGAAACTCAACAAGAATAAACGGATATCGATTTTCCGTGCCGTCTAAAAGGCGAAACCGAGCGTCTGTTCAAATGTGAGTGTCCCCAGCTGAAATGGAGTTTCTCTGTGTCTCGCGTTGTGCTCTACGTGTCGCGTCGCGTGAGTCGCGTTGAATAAGACGCGAGGTATCCGTCGCGGTGTTTTGCGAATGTGGAAGAGTGGATGGCCCAAACGAGTATCTTTTATTTTAATTGATTGATTTCAACGAAAGGAAGGAAACCTCTCATATGTGAAATGAATATGCATTTAGAAGAGATAACATAGACATGAATTAGTATTTTCAATACATGTTACAGGAACGGAGAAGAAATTCAATCTAGTTTGATGGTGAAGAACCCTCATAGTACAAGATTTAAGCGACATTCAAGGTTGTCGATGTTTAAAATTATTTTGATCTTCATATACCGTGAATGAAGCCTACACAATAATACTATTTGAGCTCAATCATCTTGATTCCTTTAAAAAGTACCACAAGTTTTCAATTAATAAACTGTTGGTAAATTTACGAAAAGCATTTTCTCAGTTGACAATTTTTTCAAATCTTTCGAAGAAACCGGAATAATTAACTTCAAAGTACGATTCAAGAGGAACAACAGTATGCAAATTCTCAAAACAATAATTCATTTATTCGAAAGACTATGTAGAAATTAAAATCATCACATCACAATTTCCAGTTGTCAGAAATTGTATATCCCTTGTTGTCTGAAAAAAACGTTGAATATTAGATTCAATAACTGAATATAAATATATTACCTCCTTTCTTTTTTGATTCAAAATAATTCAAAAATGTTTTGTAGTATTGTGCTTCTCTTTCAATTTGGCATCTCTGGCATCTCTCACCCGCCTCTTATTTCTGATATAACATTCGCTGGAAAAACTTTTTTTTTGTAAATGAAATAAAACATTATAACCTACCAACAAGTATACTGTTTGACACCGCATATGTACACAGGATATGCAGCTTCTTGCTTGAAGCAATGTAAACATAATCCTACCCAATCTCTCTGGAAATAAAGAAAAACAAATCAAGAAAAATAATAGAAAAGTCTTACCGGGTCAGTGAATTTTGACTTGTCGCAGCAAAAACTGAAATGATGGTGATTTTAAAAAATGACATCAAAAAATAGACTTACTTGCATAATAATTTAAATTCGGTTTTCTTGTTGACATACCATGCATCTGTTCTGGCGGATTTGCATGAAGAACATCTCAAACCACTACTCTGAGGTTGATTCATCTGCGAAAAAGTTCACAAAGGTCAGAAAGATATACAGAAACGTAATTTTTTTCAGTTGATGTTTAGCCATTGTGACCATTATCAAGAATCTAGAGCTTGGCTGTCAAGTTTCGGATCATATTGAAAATGTTGGAGAATGTAAAACAAACCTAGATTGAAAACTCTGCATTCACTGAATTTCTATAAAACTCTTTGTTTCTCAGCTACCGCATTTTTTCTAATAGAAGCCCATGGGCTCCTATTTTTCAACCTCTTTTTCTCTTGGTTGGGCTTCTATTTTTCAATAATTTATTTTCAAAAAAAAATTTATTCAAAATCAATTCCAGTGTTTCGAAAAATGTTAAATGTTTCATTCTGCAACTCTATATTCCGAAATTCCAAATTTTGCGACATTCTGAGATTCCAGGATCTCAAAGTTCAAAATTCGGGAATTCTGAAATTTCGAAAAAAATTCTAAATATCTAAAACTCAGAAATTTTCGAAGTTTAGAAATTAGGAAATTCAGAAATTCAGAAATTGTCGAGTTCTAAAAACAAAGTTCCAAAAATCCTGGATTTTTGTATTACCGGGGTTTTCTCTAATAGAAGCCCATTTATTAGAGAAAATAGGGTATTTGCGAATTTCTGAAAGACACGTTTTTTTCACGTTTTCGTACAAAGACGGATCAAAAGGGGTGTCTTTCGAAAATTAGCGAATACCTGAAAAATGGAAGTTTTTTTTTTTAATTCTGAGAATCTGATATTTTCAATCTATGGCTGTTTTACAACCCACAATACATCTGAAGAGATTGGAAACTTGAAAGCCGAGCTCCAGATTTCTAAAAAATTGTCAAAATGACCTAAAATAAGCTGAAAAACATGTTTTTGTTTGTCTTATTGACCGGTATAGTACATTAAACTTTGAGCAAAAATGTTTCTCAAGAAAACAAAAGAATTATACAAAAAATTATTTAAAAAGACAAAACTAATATAAATCAAAAGACACCGTGTTGAACGTTGTCTTATTTCTCACCCCGATTCCTATAAAAGTGTCTGTATAGTACACAAAAGATTCCTCGTTTATCTCCGATTGTTTTTTTTAACTGAACTGAGAGGCGAAATGTCCCACTTAATTTCTTCTAGATTGGCTGGGTTAGCAAGTTTTTCGCTTTTTTTTTCTATAAGTAGGCATAGAAATGGAGAAAGGAGGTTTCATAATAATGACGAAGAATTGTAAACTATAAGGGACAAGGAAACTTTCTAATAAATTTTAAATTACCAAAAAGTACAACTATTGATAAAAATAGCGAATCAACAATGAAACATAAGAAATTCGGAACAATGAATTCGATCGCCGTGAAATTAAAGATAATTGTAGAAGTTTTGATAAGATGACAGATAGCGTAATCATTAGGAAGGGAAAAAAGTGAAAGTGATATCTTATACTTCTCCGATAGAGAGAGAAAGAGACAAAAATTCATTTGCCAGCCATTTGAGACAAAAATAGAATTTTCTATTTAATATCTAGGTCAAAAAATACTTTATTAAAAAGAAAAATAATTTCAGGTATAGTGTAATATGTATATAATTTTTTTGTGATACAATGTACAAACAATTTTTGGGGGACCAGAAAATTCAATTGGAATGATAAAAAAGCTGGAATGGGGAAAGTTAACTTGAAAAATTTTAAAAATAGAATATGCTCAAAAATTCGACGCTAATAAAAATTATGAAATTTGAACTATTTGAATGAATTATTGCTCATTGTCGACGGCTTCCAAGTCTCTGGCGGCCGCCTTGGTCTCATCATCCTGGACTGGCATAACGTGAACTTGGATGTTCTGAAAATGAAATTTTTGTTAATTCAAATTTTCGAAATCAAGGCTAAAGCGTAAAAACAGAGCACAAAGGAAAAATTGTGACAATAGGGATAAAAGGGAAATAAGCAACTCTACCGGAGCAGTGACATAGGAAGTACTGGCAATCAGCTTTGCACTCACATCAGCCGGACGGACGAATCCGGTATTGTAGGTGGTGGCGTAGATGTTCTGGTCACTTGGCACTGCAAGACATTTTTATATGATTCTCAGAATCCAATTCTTTCTAATCCGTACCCATCATAATACCAGTCGTCGCTGGATTCCATGGATAATAGCTATAGGTCTGATCTTGCTGATGCTGAAGACCCACTGTAGACGAAGGGATCGCATACAAATCTGCCTGAGCATATGGGTTGGTAGCAGCTGCAACTGCTGCAGTTGTTAACTCTCGCTCAGCTTTGGCACTTCCAGCACGGCGGGTTGCTGCTCTCGAGATCTTCTCAGATCGCTCGTATTTTCTCTCACGAGCTCTGGAGACAGGTGGCGAGACTGCTTCTCCAGTCTTAGATTTCCTTTTTCTAGTTTGAAGAGCTCCTTCCTTTTTCATAGATGTTGGACGCGCAATGTGGTGGAGCTTGAAATAAAGTCCACAGGCACTGAAAATAATATGAGTTTGAAATTTTTTTTGATTACTGTACTCACTTGCAAACCGGATCGCCTTCTGCATTTCTTCTCCAGAGTGTCGTATTCGTTCCGTTGCAATTGGAACATACTAACCCTTGTCGTCGGGACGCAGAACCCTGAAAAACAGAAAATCTACTAAAAGTCAAGAGAGCGTTTCTCACATTGCTTCCCCTATTAGCATTACTAGACTTCTTGGAAGCCTTTGGTATTTTCATGGGTGGTTGATCGGAAGGTATTTCGATCACTGGTGGAATTCCAATAGATGGTGGATACACAATTGGTGAAGGGTACTCCGAGACTTTTGCACAGTTGGAACACATCATGCCACCATTTACAGCCTTTGCGCCATCTCCACAATTTTGGGAACACTTGACGCATTCGTAAACTGGCGTTGGTGCGGGGTAGGCAGTTGGGATGTTGATGGTAGGAACGCTGGTTTCGTAGATACTAAAATATTGGATTGAGAAGCTATTCTTCCTGGCTGCAAGTACTCACGGATTCGCAAAATTATTAATTAATGGCTGATTCAAATTGTTGACTGGGATACTGTAGATATTGTAATAAGAATTTTGAATTGCGCCATTTGGATCCAGCATGCCGAAGGTTGTGGGATAATCGAATCCAGTGTAGAACATGGTTTGAGGCGCAACAGGTTCAATTTTGCCATCATAAACCATTGTGTTATTAGTAATCACGCTTTGCCTCTCAATCGGAGGCACATACTCGTTTTCGAGTTTCACTGAAAATAACAAAAATCAGTACCGATGACGAATTCGAGTCAAAAACTCACTTCTATGTAATTCACTAATCTGTGACTCATCCTTTTGCTCAGCTGGCGGATCCATGTTCTGGGTCGGTAAACGAAGTCCTCCCGATTGTTGTGTAATTTGAGCAGATTCCATTTCGGCCCAGCCGTTGTGATTTTCTTGGTAGGTTGTATCCATTCTGCAAGAGTACGGTAATTAGGGGAGTATTGGGAAAGTTAAAAAGATTCATGAAATGAGGGGACGATTGGTTTTCGTTATCAGTTCATCAAAAAAAATTTTGAATCAAGAAAATGAGAGGCTACCCCTCGACCTGGGAATGGAAATGACGTGTGCCTCCGGAAGTTTATGAACAGGAAGCAGAAAGAACAGGGGATTTTTCAATCAACAGTTTTATATTGCTCATTGTTAAGTTCAAATTCAAAACATTCGATTCCCCATCAACACTCCTTGCAAATCAACGCTCTGAATTATTCCCTATCACTTTCACCGGTTCCTGATATCGCAATCTAGAAGATATCAGTTGGAACAGTAGTAACTTGAGGGCCTTGCAACGATAAGACTGGGAAGTATAGATAGGTTGATTTTATCAAAAAAAGTGTTTGATGTGTATAACTGACAAGAAATAATGAGGGCTGGAATGAAATAAGTAGAAGAAGACGGTGGTATTGGCGTGCAAGTGAGAGGTTGTACTGCTCTCTGTCTCCCACTCCCTCTCTTTTTTGACTGCTGTGCTGGCGATTATGCCGTTAGCGATGCACACACAGCCCTTATCAGTGCGACGATTCCTCAAAACCATACACGCAGACAGCTCAGAGTTTTCAGCACAGGTTTTCAGACCGCCTACTTAGGTACGGTAGCTGATGGAATACCAATAGGCGAGTTGGGAAGATTTTGGTTAATGAGAAAGATGTTTGAAAACCGTGGAAAAAATATATGAAGAGAGAAAAGTAGAAAGAGATGTTTACTTTCATGCGGGGAGGATTGATAATGAATTTGAATTCAAAAGTTCAAAACAGTGGAATTGAAGCCAAAAATTGATACTGGACCTTATAGATTTCGAATACGACTACACAGGCACAACCTGCTCGGGACCACAAATATTTGCTAGATCACATAATAATTTTTTTTTTGATAAGATAGCATGAACAGTACTGTTACATAAACCTAACGAGACGGTAAGTAAGGGAAAGTTGGTGGAAATAAACGAGAAGAAAAAATTGGGGGAAAAGCTGTAAAGAGAGTTTTTGAAATTTTCAATAATAACTTGAAAATGAAAACACCTGAACGAAAAAGAGAAAGATTTTAAGTTGCAACGTTGAAACAAAAATACGGTAAGTATTCTTCCGGAGAATTAATTTGACTTTTCATAATTTATATATCAGGAAGAATGAATGAAACTTTTTTGAAAATTAAAAGTTTTTGGTAAAATAATGAAATACTACTAAATCTGTTAATTCGATGTACCGTTTTTTCTTTGATAGAAGCTCACCCGAACTGTCAATTTTGAGCTCAATTATCTTGATTCCTGTGAAAGATATAAAAAATTAGTTCACTGAAGAATTGCTTATCATAATAATTTTTCGGTTGACAGTTTTTAGGAACCGAAATAATTAAGATCCAAGCACGTAAGTTTAAAAGGGGCTTCCATTACAGCAAATGTGGTACTATTGTGTTGCAAAACAATTGGAGCTGTGAAAGAAGAAAATCGGGCCTCCGGCTCAACTATCGTAGAGGTGGCTCAGCTATCGTAGAAATTCTCAACACAGAAGTGGTCGAAAATCAATAGCAATAAAGAAAAACGGACCGGAAAATTTCGGTTACGGTTGTTTTTGTTACGAGGATCATCGACAACGCCCACAAGCTCATATCGGCCGTAGATTCAATTTTGTTGCAACATATTAATAAGTGAAAAACACTTACGAGATAGGAAAAAAAGTTTCTCAATTTTACAACTTTCAAAAACATAGTCATTTTTAACCCATTCACAATCTTGTTCAAGTTCAATAAGATAACCTGAAGGAAAAAATTGATAAATTTGGGGTTTTTTGTTGATAATAAACCGCACACGCACATAATATCACTTCACACCTCAATATCAGACAAAAAAGCTAATCAATTGGAAGATAAACGACACCATAATTGTTTCTATCGATAACGTAATCAGAAAATTGATTGTTTTTTTCAGTCTCTCGAAACTGCCATTTCAAAAAATCTACAGTATGCCTACGTGGGTGGACTAATGAAGGGTACAAGGTTTAAGTCATCAGAATGTTGTTAAACCGAAAATTCGCTTTCGCTTCATTTCTCAATGTTTGCGCTTAAAGAATTGAGCTTTTGAAATGAAGTACTGTCTTCTTATCAGTCGAATGACGATTCAGTCGAGAGTTTTACTTTTTCACGCCACTTTTGATTCTTCAATTCAAAATTAGAAGAACAAAAAGTGCAGGAGAAAGAGAAATGTTGAAAACCACCCAGAAAACAAAGTGTTCTGAAACTATCAGTAACTGATAATCAGAAATTATGGCAACATTATCGTGGAGAAGATTGCGTTGATATCGCCGTAGCTCAGAAATGGTTGGAAGAGAAATCAATTGAAGATAACATTATCAATTCTGTATAAAAAGAGAATACCGGTTTTGATACCAGACATTTTCACCAATGTGGTGGTGATCATTTGTTGAAAAGTGTTTTTAGTTGTTTTTGCTTCTCTATTTTGAAGACTTGTCATGCTCCTTGCAGTTTCGAAAATTCCAGAGTGTCTTATTGATTCTTAAGTTTTGTACCAACTTTTCTGTCCAATTTCTCGCCCGGACGGACTTATTTCAAAATTTCTGATTTTTCAAAGAATCGCGAACAGATAACCTAGTCATAAAAAGTTTAAACTGCATTCACATGCTGTTCCGTTTTAGTGAGAAAAGGACATGGCGAAGTTGTAGGCTCTTAAAAATTAACATTTTTCGTAATTTTCAGTATATTTTGTACCTAAAAATTAATGTTTCATGGGCCTAAAATTTTGCGTCGTTACTTTCTCATCAGCAAAAAAAAACATTTGAGAAATCGATTTTGTTGACTGATTGTCCATTACTGTTTTAGGCATTTAAGAAAGTGCCTTTGTCAAGCTGATAAATATTTTCAGAATTTCAGGTTACAATCGTTTGACTACGGCCCATGTTCTTGGTCCATCCTGTCCGTATGTTGTCTATTCAGACGTAAAACACCTTCCTTCCAAGCATTCATTGGGGCTATTCACATTTGGACGTTATCAGTAGACGATGCACATGCACACACACACACACTCATAAGAAGACACTAGATGGTACAAAACGAGAGAGAAGGCAATAAAATGTTTATACACACATCTTGTTCTCTCTCTCATTCTCCCATTACGTCTGCATTTATTAGTTGGGTGTTGGGTAGGGGAGAAAAGAGAGGATGGGGCGAAAAGCAAAGTAATAGGATCATTATCATCATGGGAGAGTATAAGACAAAAGGGCATAATCGTGGCTGGAAAGGAGAGGAGAGAGCAAACTTTTAGAGGTGTTGGACAGGTTCGATGGCGTGCATTGGAGTCGAAGATTGGCTGAAGGATGGGGTCATCGGAAGAGTGACAGGTCCAACGGTGGTGGTAGACGATGGAGTGGTGGATTCTAAATTGGTTTGAAATGTGCAAAAAATTGATATGAAAGTTTTCAAATTGCTATCATATCAACAAAAAAATTTTGAAATTGTTTACTGCACTGATAGGGTGATTCATCAAAATTATCACTCACTTTCCTCATGGTTTCCCGGTGTGGTTGTTTGCAAAAGGTGAGCAGACGATCCCATCTGAAACCCCACAGTATGAATGGGAAGAATGACGTCACTTACCTCGGATTGCGTAACATGATCGTTGGTAGACGAATCTCCCGGCTCGGTAGAATTGCCACCAGTGCCAAAGAGGCTATCGGTTACTGTTGGGTTTCTGGAGTTCTTAAATTTTTTTGAAGAACACAATTTGGTGGCTTACCTGATATAGAATATCGCTACCAACGTGGAGACCGCAATGAGAATCACAATTCCAGCAATTGGAACAGCTACCTTGGGAGAGGCAATAGCTTTCAAGTCGACCATAGTTTTGAGAACAAATGAGCAAATGGGCTCTTCTCGGACCCCATTTTACGTTGTTTGTGACGCACATCAAATCTTCTTTTGGCATTCTTAACGGGGAGAATATCCATCTTAGGTCCCAAATATACACAGATTCTGATGAAATAATCGGGTTTAGGATTGTCTCTTGTATAAGTCGCCGCGTTACGAACAAGAGGGATATTTCAGTTAGAGTTGGCCTGGATGATGAAGTAAAGCATATCCCGTTTTGAAGATGTTTCTGGAAAAAATTGGGTTTCGTGATGTCAATGGACATAGGTGTTCACCGAGAACAATGTTTTATTGTTTTCAGATGATTTTCAAGCCAAAATTTCAAATTTAGTGGGAATCTCTTAATAAGGCCACCTTATACTTGCTCTGCAAGCTTATTTATCTCAATTTCTGTAAGAGATATCAAATATGTGTAAACTGATAAAATGTTGGAAATAATGAGAAATACAATTTTCTAGTTGACAGATTTTTCTTTTCTTTCATAGAAATTAAAATAATTGAGCTAAAAATGCAAGTATAAGATGGCTTTTTATTAGAGTATTTGCAAAAGTTATAATTTTTGGTTGCCGCGTGTTCTTATGCCTTTAACTCCTTTTTCCTGACCTCTAGGACAACATTTTTATCATTTACGACCTTTTAATCTTGTGAAACTAGGTTCATTTTTGCCAGACTTGATCACTCCCCGCTTCAGACAAAATAAATACCCATGAGAAATTTCAGACAACAGCAAAAAGTTCTAAATATTTTTCAACTGATATCATATCTGCAAAAATTACATGCAATTTCAGGCTAACTCACGGCAAGATAAGAGGTATCAGTGTGTCAGAAAAAAAAAAGAACTGATATTATTATTATCATCATCGTCTGGAGACGTCTAATCATACTGATTGTTGGCCGCTGGTCCTTTTTTCTTTTTTTTTTGAAAATTACAGTGAACACTGAAATATAAGTTCTTTCTAAATGTGAACTTCGAGCTTAATTATCTCAAGTTCTATAATAAATATGAAACATTTGTCAAGTGATAAAGTGTTGGTGATATTATGAAAAACATGCAATCAATCGAACATATTTTGTTATCTCATATAAACATTCACATAATTCAGCTTGAAGCGTACGTATAGGGTGACCTTCTATTACAGTAAATTTTGCAATGTACCGTGCCAAAATTTTTCCGGAATTTTCTTGATCTGTATACTTGTAACTGGCCGGGCCGGACTTTGTTCCGAATTTCGAAGGCCCGGCCCGGCCGGGAACGTCATTTCACAAGATTTGAAAATTTCAAAAAACACATAAGGGGGGACCCTTAAATGATTTTTTTTTGATCGAAAATTTTTTTTCGAGTTTTTTCGATCTTTTTAGATCGAACAGACAAACAATCCAAAAACAAAAAAAATTGAGAAAATTATATTGAGAGCTCAAAATGTGGCCCGAAAATACAGAAATTTTAATACTTTCCGGGCTGTGCCCGGGCCTTGAAAATTTCCTCAGGCCCGCCGGCCCGGCCCGGAATTTTACAAGTACGTTGACCTGGGTTTCCAGTATTCTGTTTTTTTTTTGAATTTTTTGCAATGAAACAATATCTTTCCGACAAAAATTTCGGAAAAGAAGCCAAAAATGTGAATTTCGGAGAGTTCTTCTGGATACTAAACACGGAAAAACTGGTAAAAAATGTTCTCTCAATTGAATTAACACTTCAAAAAAAATCAAAATAGACGGTCTATACACTCGCTTTATATTTAATTATCTAAATTTCTATAGGAGATATCAAAAGCGTGTCAACTGATAAAATTTTTATGATGATATTACAAACATTTCATCAGCCGAAACATGTTTTTCAATTTCTCATAAAAATTGAGATAATTGAGCTCAAAGTGTACTCACAGCTGGGTCTTCTATTAGAATGTTTACAGGATTTTTTTTTCGGATTTTTGATCTTTTGGTTTTTCCGTTCAGGAAGTTGTACATGTTTTTTAAGTTAGATAATAATCATAAAAATGTTCTTTTTTTCATTGGGCTTTGATTTCCATACCGACTTGATTGAAAGCAAAAAATCGAGAAAAGCGGCAATAAATGAGGCTTATTACCATACTCATCAGCTCTATTTGTCATTTGTTTTTTTTTCGTCGTTTTGCTCACTGAAGATTGAAAAACAGAGTGTATTTCCATTTTTTCGGCTGTAGTTATTTTTCTAGATTAGCATGATTTTTCAGTAATTCTAACCCACAAAAAGCTCTGGTGACTATGCACTCTGTGCTTTTTATTCTGCATAGAATTTTTTTTCTTCAGATTTATATGACGAAAGGAAGTGCGTCAATCGTTCAGGTTGACATAACAGTTTTTGAAGTTTGGAAGAATATTTCAATGCGCAAAAACATGGAAAAAATGTTCTGGTGTGCGATTTTTATTTTTTTTTCTACGCATTTTCTTTTTAATTTCAGTATGAGCATACCAGTATCAAATAACCACTATTCTTTTTTGTTTTTGGTGATCGTCCCTGTTTTGATTGATTAAAAAACAATGATGTCTCTGAAAAAGTTGAAAGTTTGAGACTGAACTTATGAGGAATAAAAAGGAAAAAGTAATTATCTCTCCAAGCAGCAGATGAAAAAGAAGAGAGTCATTTTTAATTGTATTATGGTTTTGTTGAGCTCAATGTTGAAGAAATGGCGCATGCATTTTTCAAAAATTATAATTATCATTTTTAATACGTGAAATTTTCAATAAAAAAGTTTAAAGTCATTTTTGACCAATTAAAGATAGTGTCCGGTGGAGTTATTTCATTTTCATTCTGTTTAAAATTACGGCTCCGGGACGTTTCGTAGCTAGACGATTTGCAGCTGAGTCGTTTCGCAGCTTGGACGTTTCGCAGCCAGCCATTTCGCAGCCGCTATTGTCTCAAATCGACAAATCTCATGCTTAAAGTATATTTTTCTCGTATTTTCTTGACTAATTATCTATTATTTTTTATTCTTAATAGTGTTTGGGGGGGGGGGGGGGGAAATACACATATTTAGAGAAAATAACTAAAAAATAACACAAAAATGTGATTATGTGTATTTCTGATAGCTAATAGAAAATCGATGCCTCGAAATTGATAAATGCTATTAAGAATGAAAAATAACAGATAATTAATCAAGAAAATACGAGAAAAATATACTTTAAGCATGAGATTTGTCGATTTGAGACAATAGCGGCTGCGAAACGTCCTGGCTGCGAAACGCGCGGCTGCGAATCGTCTCGCTACGAAACGTCCCGGAGCCAAAATTACATCTATATTCATATTTTAATAATAAAAACATTTCAAAATAATCCTTGAAAAAAATGAGTCTTTCCAGAATTATAGAGGTCTTTAGGATTCGGCTTGAAATGCGGATTTATGATTTTTTTTTAAATTTCAGTGCTTTCAATAGGTTTGTGTTTTTGAAAATCTGTGAGTGCAGTTTCATCCCAAATGTGCAATACCCCTGGAACCAAATTTTGGGTGTTCTACAATTTTTCGATCCCCAAGTACTTTACTTTTTTAGTCAGCTAAATAAAACTTTGCAGCTTTTATTAGGTTGACGGGAAGTAACTGTCCATCTTTTTATTAGTAAGTAAAACAAAAAGAAGATTAATCCAAGATTGACATTATGCACCGTCGTGGTCCACAACATTTTGGCAATGTTTAGGTGACTTGTGTGTACCATCTCTCCAAAAGTAAGCTGCCCACGAATCAAAGTATTCCTCCAGTCCATTTTTTCTCACTGTAAAATGAATACTTTGATTCGCGGCTAGCTGGATTTTAGAGGTATGGTATTCACAAGTTATCTGAATGTTGACAACATGTTGTGAAACACGACGGTGCGGGGGTACGACGAATTCGAACGCTTCCGAAATCGAACGCGACAAAGCCGAACATGTATCAAAACAGAACAGGAGCAGAATCGAACTGTGCGAAACTCGAACTGTGTCGGAGTTGAACTGTCCCAAATTGGAACGCTGTTAGTCGGGACGCGCTAGCATTTTTCTTCAAATTAGTGACTTTTTTCTCCAGAAAACTTAAAAAATATATACAAATCATTCTCAGGGCAGTTTTATTAGAAACAAAAACAACAAAAAACAATTTTTCTCGAGGAAACAATCAAATTTTGCTGGGAAAAAAATTTAAAAAAAAAAAAATGCAAGCGCGCCCCGTGGCTAACAGCGTTCCAATTTGGGACAGTTCGACTCCGACACTGTTCGAGTTGCGCACAGTTCAATTCTGCTCCTGTTCTGTTTCGATACATGTTCGGCTTTGGGTCGCGTTCGATTTTGGAAGCGTTTGAATTCGTCGTCCCCCCGACGGTGCATACTGCTAATCTTGGCTTAATCCGATTTTTGTATTATTCACAAATATAACAAGGGAAGTCACTTTCCTTCCAACCTAATCTAATAAATTGAAATTTTCTTCGCATGTTTTACCTGAAAATAATTTTTAGTTGCAAGCATTTTTATCATTTTCAAAAGTATTTTTAAAGATTTTCACGTTTTTTTCGACTTTTCAAATCATCGTTTGTCTTCCTTTTTGAGCATTTTGTGATACTGGACCGAACATTTTGAAGAAAACGGGTATTTAGCACATAGAATATCATATTTGAAAGTTTATTTAGGAACTGAACAATATATACTTTTTTCCGGACGCCACCTTTGATTTTCTATTTTTTGTTCTTACATGAAAAACAGAACAATACTTGCCTGAAATAAATCAACCTGACTTCCTTACCTAAAAACAATAACAATTACTTTTCTTTGAGAGTATCCGTTCACAATGTTATCTGAATATTAAATCCAGCTGTTTTATGATATCTGTTCTCTCGCACACCCATAAATTATTCCAGATCACAAACTGACGCAATTACCTAATTTTTCTGCATTGTGTGCTTTTATGTTTCACCTGTGAACTCGGGGAAGAAACAAAACTTTTGGTAAAAGTTTCAAAATCTGATGTGTTTAGT